TCTCCCTCCAGGAGACCCTTTGCTCAGCCTCTGTAGGCTACAAACCAAGGCAGAGGTCGGCCTAGAGATGGCTTCCCTGGGGCAGTGCCTCATCCCAGCAGAACCCAGACACACTCCAGGGGAGGCCGAGCTGGAAGTGGGACTGACAGGCAGACACCGGACAGCTTGCCGGCTGTGGTAGAGCTCCAGTCTCCCCAACCCTGCTCCCACGGTGGGAATTCATGGGGAGGAGCCAGACACCCCTAGAAAGACACAGCCTTTGCAAGGCAGGCCACACAAGGGCCCAGGAGGGGGTAACCCCCATTGGTGTGGGGTCAGGCTTGAGGGTGGCCTCAGCCCGCGTCTCTGTAGCTGTATGGGCACAGGCCCGGGCCCAATGAGGGAAGCATTGCTGTTGACAAGGCTAGGAGCACAGATTTGCCCTGGAGTGAGTTTCCAGGGTAGACCTGGTCCTGGTCCAAGGGGCCTAATCCTGGGGTGGAAAGCATGGTGTCTGGACAGCATTTATCCTCACCTAGCCTTCTGTGAATTCCCACAGTTCATAACCCGGGAGGTGCTGAGTGAAATGAAGCAGAAGGCCATCCTGGAGGTAGAATTTGGTTCAACAGCTCGGAAGATGCAGGTCCTCCTGGGGAAAATGAGTAGAATCCTGAATTTCCTGACCATCCCTGATTTGGAAAACTTCATAGAGGCTGCCAGGGTCTTGCCAACCGACAACCTGGAGCAGAAGGAGAACTCTTACCTCCAAGAGTAGGGCAGTCACCACATTGTGCCAGGGCCTTCTCCAGCCACCGTGGACTGTCTCGGGAGAGTTATCATGAGCGCCAAGGAAAACCCCAGAGCCCTGTGTATGTCTCTTGAGAGTTGATTTGTCATTTGGGACTTATCACAGCTCCTTGGTTTGAAAAAAGAATCTGTGGCTGGGCACAGAAAAACCCTCACCTGACAGCACGAGGAGCAGGTTGTTTCTGTGGGCAATGCCCGTCAACCCCTGTCCTGCGTGCCCCCACTGGTCACTTGAATGCAGTCCTTTTGCAGCCCTCCTGTACTTGGGTTGACTCAGGACACAGACGGTCTCAAAGCGTACCTCTGCCCGTTGTTGGCTATGCAACCTTGGGCAAGTAGCTTTATGCCTCAGTTTCCTTGTCAGTCAAATGGGTCTAGATATCCCCAGAGGTTGGCACTAACCCTAACATCATCACAAACACCCCTCTCCCACCCCTGCCAAGGCAGAGGGAGACCCAGACAGCGAACCAACGTCAGATTGCTGCAGGTCCCCTAACCCAGGAGCCAGTCGGGAGCCTGAAGGGACACACATTCAAACCCCCTCCACTAGCTGGGACACTTCTGCTCACTGGTAACAGTCACTAATTCAAGTAGGTAAAGCAAAATGGGAAATGAGTCATCTGGACGGAAGTCATCTGGATCCTCATCTGGATCCTCTCAGAAAAGGATCAGAGCATGGGAAGCCCCCAGAAGCCAGAGGACTTCCGTTCTCATCTCTGTGACAGTCTTCTTGTCCTGAATGCCTATGCACCTCACTTCACGGGGCTCTGCCTCCCGATCTCTCTCAAAAGCCGCCAGAGGTCTCTGATTGGCCTGGCTTGATCAGGAGGCCACTCTTGGTCCAGCCTCACGTGGTAGGGAGGGTGGGGTAATGTCTTGATGCCCGTGCACAGGGATGGGCGGGAGTTTCTAGAAAAGGGGGACTCAGGAGCTGGGCAGCCCCCTACAGTGTGCCTCTTCTACATCCCGGGATACGGCCACTTCCCGGGATGACCTCCACTGCAGCCTAAACCAAGCCGGGATAGGAAACCCCTTCCTCCCAGCCAGCCTGGCAACTGGACATTCCCTGCCACGACAATGACACTGGAGCCCCCCCTTCGTGGCCCTGCCCCCTTGCTGATCTCACACGGCCTGCCAGCAACCTTCACCGAAGTCATCATGGCCCCGAGCCAGGACAGCCCAGCAGCTGAGGCAGCACTGGAGGTGGCGGTGGGCAGTGGGGGGCGGACGCGGTCACGCCCACTATTTGCCACACCTTGCTGGCCGAGGGTACCCTCAGCTAGAACAACAGTCCCTGTGGCGCAAGGCAATGAGCCCTAAATGACACAGATGACCGCCGGAGCAGCCTCCCCCTCCCAAGCCCACGTCAGAGTCTCAGTGGGCCCTGTTCGGTCCGCACTTGTGCCGAGTGCCTAGAAGCCCTTTTTTCTTACCCGCCACGAGAAGCAGAAGCTTCCAAGTTGGTCTCAGCAACAAGGTCCCCCCAAGCTTGTGGCTGGCTCAGAGCCAGCGCTCACGTCTCTTCCAGGACTGAAGGACCAGCCAGCCCTGGCTCGGGGTCCTGGCACCACGGCGTGCTCGCTGCACAAACTCGGGCACCGTGGTGAGCCCCTGTGTCCTCCCCTGGCATAGGAGGGCCATCCTGGAGCTCCCCTCCCAGAGTTACACACTGGGGGTTAAGGTAGCGTCAATAAAGCACTGCGCGCTGAGCTTGCTGAGCGGGCTCTCACGACCATCAGCCCGCTCCCCTCCCTGGGAGTCCTCCTTGCACGAACCTGAAATCGTTCTTCCACTCACGCGGAGCTTGTCAACAGGCGGCTGCGCAGAGGTGTTCTGTTTGGTCAGCCCCGTTTGAAAATCGTGTTGCCGACATTTAAAGGCCCAGAGATTTCACATAGAGGCTCGGGGTTCCAGGTCCCCTGGGAACCGCGGCTCTGTGCCAGGGCCGCCAGAGACTGGACAGAATCACACAGGAATCGGGGACTGTTCTCACAAGGGAAAGCCAATCACCTCACAGCTCGGGAAGGAAATAAAGCCGCCAACCAGATGGCCAGGAACTGCACAAATCTAGATCCCCCCGCCAACTCCGTACGTTTGCTGGAGGCCCCACACTGGGTGCCGTCCACAGCAGAAACTTACTGTCAGGCTTCCGGAGCCTGGAGGTCCGAGATCCAGGGCTTCCCTCTGAAGGCGTGAGGGAAGCCTGTGTTCCGGGCCCCGCCCGCTTCTGGTGGGTCCTGGGCTTGAGGCCGACCTCACCTGGCCTTCACCCTGTCTCTGAGTCACAGGCCCTCTTTTTATATGGACACCAGTCACATTGGAGAGGGTATGGCCTCACCTTGACTAATTACATCTGCAACCACCGATTCCCAAATAAGGTCACACTTCCAGGCCCTGGGGGTTAGGACGCCAACACAGGAATGTGGGGGGTGGGGGCGCGTAATTCAACCTGTAACACTCTCTGCCTCCCATCTTGGGCCCTTCCCAGGGCCTCACCTTCCTGAGGGGACAAATTCTGACCACCATTCTATCTTCAATGACTTGGCAGGAAAAGGTGCTTCTCCTGGAAAGAGGCTGTTTATGAATACCAACCTGTTCAGTTACACACAAGGGTGCCCTGATGAGTAACAATCGGTGACTGCCCCGAGGCAAATGGAGCCTCGTGCAGTGCCCACAAAATTACTAATGAATTCAGTTAACTAATTAGGCCATGCAACAAATACACACTGAGCTTCCGCCATGTGCTCAAGGTGCCCCTGGGGGGATTAGGCTGGGGCTCAGAGAAGCGAGGGATAGCAAAACAAAGCAACTGTGGCTTTGTGAAGGAGCACAGCAGAGTCCGCTGGGTGAGAGGGAAGGGGTCACGGAATGAAGAATGGGGGTGAGGGTGCGGGCTGGGAGTACCCAGGAGGGAACGAACAACCTCGAAGAGCCCCCACCAGCACCAAGCCCGCTGATGGGGGGGGTAGGTTCACTGGAGTGCTGGGGAGCCGCCAACTTCCTACTTGGATAGCAGGAGAACTCACTACAGAGCCCCCCACACTGCCACAGTGGCCATGTAGAAGGAAAAAGAGAATTAGGGACAGTTCTCAGAAGGGAAAGCCAACCACCTCACAGCTGATTCCTACCAGCAACAGGAGGCCCCTTCCCCAACCCCCACCCCGCCGTGCCGTGCAGTGTTCCTCCAGCACCCTACAAAGACTAAGTTTGCACCCGCTGGCAAAGGAGAAATGTTCTCTGGGTCCAGCTCGAGTCTCCACGGGGGGCCCAAAAAGGTGGATTTGGAGCCACGAGGCCGTAAATCGGTAACTGGCGCAGAGACCGTCCTCCCGAGCCTGCCCGAGATGAACGTGGTTGTGGTGACGCTCAGTCCAGGACCTGCCACAGCAGAGTCCACACCAACTCCTTCTGCGTTCAAGAAATATCTACATCGGTGATACTTCCTGCGCTTATCCCTCTGCTTCTCCAGCCTCTGGTCTGTCCCCGCCCGGTGACAAAGCCCTTTCCTGCTCAAGTGAGACAGTGACAAAGCCTGGCGCGTGCACTCACGGACCCGGACCGACGCGGACCGACCCGGAGGGTGAGCAGTGAGGAGCCGAGGCCAGACGCACAGATGCGTGGGGGCCCCACGGGCCGTCGGAGGACGGACAAGCTGGGGGACGAGCGGCCACGGGGAGAGAAGTGCTCCAGAGAGGAAGCAATTAAGTTCCTCCTTTCTGAGAAGCAACATTCTCTCACCAACGCACCGAGGTTTCTCTACTGAACGGCCCCCTTTTAAAAACGAAGGTTGACTATTCTTTCTTGCAAGGTAATAAATAGAAGAGAATTTAAAGATATGGGATTGTTAAACCAGGGTGAAAATACAAAATCGTTTTTATTGCTACTTCCATAACATTAAATTTCAACACAACTCTGTGTGCTGACAGTACTCGGGAAATTAGCAGTTTTGCAAACAAAGAAAAATTATCTTTCCACTAACGGAGCATAAAGAGGCTTCAAAAATGTCTTTCCACAATAATCATCTTACCAAAAACATCCACACAGTACAAGTAAAACCGGGGAAATGTGAACAGACTGGTGGAGTGTACCAATGTCCATATCCTGCTTATGATAATGTATTCTACTTTCGCAAGATGTCACCCCTGGGAGCAATCAGGGGAAAGGTACAGAGGGTCTCCCTGTATTCTTACAACCGCATGTGAATCACAAGCTAGCTCAATAAAAATTTCAATTAAAAAATTATTTTTAAAAAGAATCCATACACACAACAGACATGTGAAGACAAAGTAGGAAGCAAAAATCTTTATTTTTTAAAAAATTCACATTTATTAAAAACAGCAATTTCTAGCCAAATAATATAAAGCATTTTAAGTTAATTATTTGAAAGTATATACATGTTTTGTATAAGTAAACACTTGAAACTGTACAGATTTTAAACAAATATTCATTTAGCCAACAAGTTGGATCACTATCACCTACTCAGCACTTTGTAAGATCAGCACTTTGTAAGATGTTTGAGTGTTTCAGAAAGAAAAGATTCAAAACACAGGAATGAGTGCCACCAAATATTTTTATCCTTAAGAATGCAGCCTGCTCTGTACATCCAATTAAATCAGTCACAGTACTGTACAATAATCATGCCCTCATTTCTTTGGAAAGGCTATTAAAAAAATCAAATGTACATATAATACAGAAAACAGGCTATTTTACAGTTTATTTCATTGAACATGTATTTAAAATAGTAAGTGGAAGTAAATACAGTCTTCCTGATTCATTCATTTCATGTCAAAGAATGAATATGGACCCTCTTCCCTTCTACCTTCCCAAAATAGACTATTAAGCTCTCTCAAGCCACACTCATCACCAATTTAAATGGAGTTGAGAAACAAGTGACCTGTTTAAAGTGACAGACATCAGGATATATAACCTATCTACACACTGCAAGAGGCTGCTGCAAGGGCACGAGTCCTGCAGAATGAGGTCCGCTGGCTACATTCCAGAACCCTCTTCAGTGTTCCATCTCTGGATAGTGTTTGAATAACTCAAAAATTCCTTCTGGACCAAAAAGCAGCTTATGTGAGGTGAAAGCAATCCACTCAGGAAATAGTTTTTTGTGGGCAAACTCATAGATGTGCATAATTTATCTGATGATTCCCTGATACAATACGGTAGATTTTAAGGGGTGGACCATCTTCATCCTCCTCGTCTTTGTTAGTAAAATGTATCCTGCCGAGACAGGGCTAGAGCCCCACAACGCTGGTACACAGCACAGCCAATGAACGAATATACGGGACATGAAAGTGTTCACTGTTCCTAGAACTACTAAAACCAAAGGCAGTGTACAGAAAGCTGGTAACCCTAACCTTCCTGCGTGAGATACACTATTGAGCAGGCTGCCTCCTCTCCCTTACGGGCCAGATTTAAGACACCTTAATTGGTGCTTCCCACTCACAAACACGGACTATTGTACCATGAAGATTCTCATTAAAGATGCCGCACACATCTATTATGAGGAGGCTCCAGCCCCTGTGTTTGAACGGTCTGTACCTAAGCAATTCAAGGAGTACAGACGCTGGGACCTTACACGGGCTCCTTGCACCTTGAAACTACCTCATATCAAACACACAGAAAGAGAACACTCCAAATTCCCAGGAAAGCAGAATGTGTTCTCAGATGCACCCAATCTACTCCAAACGAAACTTCAAAGTGATAGGAGAAACATTACATTAAATAGAGTGCAGAAATAAGATTTCTGGAAGTAAAAAAGAGCCGCTGTGGAATCTTTGTGGCTCCAAGTGTTGCAGTGTTTCACGCTTTAACAAACCCTCCTCGTAGAAGCTTTCTCATTAACAGTACTTCTGTAAAGTTTTTCGCACTACTTATTGTAACCTAGTTTCATTGCACATCTTTTGCTAAGAACCATTTCCCTGTGTGCCCACCATAGCTACCTCTAAAAAACTCACATTCTCGTGACCTTTTCAAGAAGGCAGTTCTCACGCTCCTAGATTAATCTTTGGCATTTTGATGTTTTTAAAAGGGAAACACCAATCTTCCAAACACTTTGCTTGCATTTCATTCTGCAGTCAGCACTGAGCAGCACGCCTGTGTGGTTCTCAGGGACACTCCCACATCCGGTTCCTTGGCGTCCTGCAGGCTGCCAGACTTCCCAGCCCGCTCGGTCCGCACAGACACTGACGTGCACAGCCCAGCTGGCCTGGTTATTTAGAAACGGACAGTAGGAGGTTCAGCTGAAAAGAAAAGTGAAAGGCTATGTTAGTTCTGCCGTGGAATACCGATCCTCAAACACAGAATGACAGAAAAAGTCTAAGATTTTTAAGAAGCCAAATGGACACAGCTGGACCTGCAATGCTGGTGTGATTTGTGAAGCGGCCGCTGGGCGGCGGGCTTTGTGGCAGGTCTGGGACGGGGTCACACTCTATCACCGAATCGAGGCCCTCAACTTATTTAGAATCCAATGAAAATGACAGGAGAGGGAAAAAAAAAAAAAAGAAAAACACCTACATACCAACCCTGACAAGGGATAGAAATAGATCTAAATTATCAATTTCACCTTTCTCTGTGCAGAGTGTGTTGTGGGAAGAACTGTGTGTAAGCGGAATTCCTTGAATGACCATTTTAAAGGCATAAGAACAGGCGTGAGGAGTCAATTTCAGCTCACACGCTAACTCTGACTGAGCCCTAGAGCACCGTGCCCACTCTGTAGAGGAGGGCGGGACACGGAGCCGGCCCCCAGGAGAAGCGGAGAAGCCCACCATGGGACAGGGTAGGGAACTGCAGTCTCCAAACGGCCAATCTGGCACCCGAGCCCTAGAAGACATGCGGTTAAATGAACCTGGCAGTGAACCCTTCTACACAGTACAAACTGTTTTGGTAATCAAAATAATAATGGCCCCCTAATCTCTTCTATAAATTTGTACTCCCAGTGAGAGGAACACACCATCACCTCTGTGTTTTTCCTGCCAAAAATACAAAACCTCAGTCTAATCACGATGAAACAGACAACATCAAGTTGCACAGAATGATGGTCTCAATCAGTGTTTTTCAAACTATTGGTTGCAACCCACTGGTACATCATGAGAACAAGGCAGTGGTTCATCAAATGAATAGGGAAGAGAGGCAGAGCAAAGCAATTTCAGTTGTATATAATGTGAGTGATTACTGTCAAACTTTTAAGTTACAAACATATACACACACACACACACACACACACACACTAAAACATGTATCTTGCTAGCAGGAGTCCAGCAAGAGCCCAGGAACCCTGCATGTTCTTGGCAAGTCCACCTGGCTACTCCACATCTACACTCCTGCAACTGACTATATATAACTGGAGAAAAAATAGACAACCGTGCTGACTGGTCTCTCTTGGATTCATAACCACTGAACTCAACTGAGCCTTGCTCCCCAAATCTTTAGTGCCCCTCCCTTTTAGTGCTAACCGTCTTCCTGTTTCACTCACACACATGAAGCAATCAGATGAGAGCTCCCATCATCCTACCGTGTCCACCGCCTCCCCACATGTGTGCCCAAACACTGGGCTTTCTTTCCTTTCGCGACTGAGCACCCCCACCCCCATGCACCTAACAAAGGCTCCACCGTCCAACTGTTCCTGAGATTCCATCCCCCCTTTGCTACTCCAGGACATTTTTCCAGCATCAATTTTTCCCTCTCTCTGGATCCTCCTCATGAATATAAAAACATGAATTTTCCCCTATCTTTAAAAGGGAAAAAAAAAAAAAGGAAAGAACCCAATAACAAATAAAAGTAAGTTATTTATAGGACAAAGGAAGGAAAAGGCTGGAGGGGACTGAAAGGGAAGCAAGACACCTCCAATTCTACCTTGTTCTAGAATTCTGACTTGAGAACCAGGTTAATACTTTATATAATAAAAAAACAAAATTAAATCAAAATGATGGGGGAAAAAATCTCTAAACACTGAAACAAACCTAACTATATATCAAGTTAGTGGTATAATCACATAGAATATAATTACTTCAAGTGAGTTATAAAAAAAAGTATTTTAACTACAATCCTGGAACCACAGACACATCTTTTTAAAATATGACCCATCTATCCATACAAAGGAATATATAAAGCCATAAAAAGAATAAAGTTCTGATACATGCTACAACATGGAAGAGCCTTAAAAACATTCTGCTAAGAGAAAGACGCCAGTCATAAAAGGCCATGTATTGTATGATTCCATTTATTTTATTTTTGTAAAGATTTTATTTATTTGACAGAGAGAGAGAGACAGCGGGGAGTGGGAGAGAGAGAAGCAGCTTCCTGCGGAGTAGAGAGCCCAATGCGGGGCTCGATCCCAGGACCCTGGGATCATGACCTGAGCCGAAGGCAGACGCTTAACTGACTGAGCCACCCAGGCACCCCTGTATGATTCCATTTAATGAAATATCCAGAATGGACAAATCCATAGAGACAAAAAGTAAATTACAGAAGATGGAGGAATGGGGATTCTGCTAATGGCTATGCGGTTTCTTCTGGGGGGTACATGAAAATGTTCTGGAATTAGATGGTGGTGAATTTGCACAACTTAGTGAATATACTAAAAACCAATGAACTGTCCACTTTAAAAGAGTAAATTTTATGGCATATGAGTTCTATCTCAATAAAAAAAAAAAAAAAGACCCCATTTACCTTCCAGCTACACCTTTTCTCTCCCAATGTGGTAAAACTCCCAAAAGACTCACCCATACTCACTGCCTCCAGTCCCTTCTCCAACTCTCCACCCTCTTTGATCAGGCTCCCATACCTTACTACTCTCTCCCACACCCTCCGGTCCTTACATATATAAAACTCCTAAGCGATACCAAACTTAAAACCAGAAATAAAATACCCACCATAGCACCAGCCTACTCCTAATACATAATATGTGCTCAATAAAAACTTCCTGGCTGAACTGAATACATGAATGATAAATACAGACCTAGCTCTGTATTCAGTTTTTCAAACTTAGGAAGAAGAGAGAAAACAGAAACTTTTTTTTTTTTTTTAAGATTTTATTTATTTATTTGAGAGAGAGAATGAGAGATAGAGAGCACGAGAGGGAAGAGGGTCAGAGGGAGAAGCAGACTCCCTGCTGAGCAGGGAGCCCGATGTGGGACTCGATCCCGGGACTCCAGGATCATGACCTGAGCCGAAGGCAGTCACTTAACCAACTGAGCCACCCAGGCACCCAAACAGAAACACTTCTAACATCAAATCCCTAAAGTAACTTTTTTTCATGTGAAATGTGGGCCTCTTATCATGCATACTGCAAGTAAAGTTATTCAGCATCGTAAACACCATTATTTGAACTTTTCACAAATAGTTCATTCATGTTAAACACAGCAATTTTCAATATCAGAAAGGATTTAAAAAAGCAATTAAAAATTATAAAGTCATCTCTAAAAATCTGACACAGCAATTCAAAGTTTGAATTATTGCTCATCAGAATAAAATTATGTACAATTTTTAAAATTAAAATTAAAAACATGGTTATTCAAAGACATTACCTACTCAAGTAAAATAACGAAGAGGAATAAAAGTAACAAGGATCTTCAGATGATGGATTACCTGTTCCATAGAAGGACAAGCAATGATCTGGACATCTTCAGGGCTAAACTCTTCCTTTAACAAAACATGGAACTTCTGGAAGACTTGCTGAATATTATTCTTAGAAAGAAGAGGCAATCCCATTAAATGAGTCACTAGAAACATATGTGGTCATCTTAAACATGAAGCATTAAGACTGTTAAATCTTTTTTTAAATTTTCATTTAAATTCCAGTTAGTTAACATACAGTGTTATATTAGTTTCAGGTGTACAGTATAGTTATTTAGTACTTCCATACATTACCCTGTGCTCATCACAAGTGCACTCCTTAATCCCCATCACCAATTTTAGCCATCCCCCCACCCACTGCCCCTCTGGTAACCATCCGTTTATTCTCTATAGTTCAGAGTCTGTTTCTTGGTTTGCCTCTCTCTCTCTCTCAGAATGTTAAATCTTAATGATATTTGCCAAACAAGTGGAGGAAATGCATCTTTCATTGGATTACCAAAGACATATAATTTACACTTAATAATTCACATGCTAGTACAACCCAACTAAGCCTTATCAGATAATACTTCCTGGAAAAGCTAAACTCTAGTAAGCCCTGTCCCCCCAGAGAATAGTAAGAGCCTTCAGAAGCAATTTCTTACACAAAAGATAATAAAGTTCCCAGACACATAAAACGTACTTTAAAAATCAACCAATGCCTTTGGTAAAGATGTGAGCTCAACACAGAGCTGGAAGTTATGAGCACTAAATTTGCTCTGACATTTAATCCCTTGGCGGCCACTGCAAGCCATTTATTTCCACTACTCACCAGTAAAATGAAGCATAATTCCTGAAATGCTGCTTTCTCAAGTATGGGGCCACATTCAATGGTAGGGTCTGATGACTTATTTATTTACTAATTTGTACTTTAAGGTCAAAATTACCTTGCTGCCAAAGGTAACATAAAGAACTTAAGACAAAGGCAGGGGTGGATATAATCAGGCCAGTGCTGGCTTTGTAAGCCTCCCAAGAATTACAGTGATTATTAACCAACTTTACTAGAACAGTATACCAACACTTTTAAATGTCTACAGGAAGAGGAAAATGGTAGACAAGGCAAGAAAACCTGAAGAGACTGGACAACATTCAAATGACATATCACGATACTCACCCTAACAGGTTTAAACAAGATGAACTCTGTGTCTTTATTGGATAGGTACAATGACATGCTTCTCAATGTCAGAGGCAGCTTCGCTTTTATTGTCTTGTAGGCATTTGCTACAAGGTCACTGACCTTTGCTGGAAAGAATTAACCTCATTAGTGTTACAAAGAAAAAGAGAAGAAACACTTCCATTTTCATCCAGAGGGGAATAAAGGGAGAGAAAAAAGCGACAGAAGAAAGGACTCTATTTCCCCCCAAATTTTCTTTCACTTTTCCTGTTTACCAAGTTTAATCACAAGCCCTATAAACATTCATTATCTCCTACATACAAAATTCTACTCCCGAAGGCTAAGGCAGTAAAAGGACTCCTCCAACACCCTTCAGGACATTCATAGGGGCTATACTATGATGCCTTTGGAATTCAGAGATAGTAAAGATAAAATAAAAAATTATTTGCAGAGAGACACTAATAAGAATTACTTCATTATGAATGAGCTTACTCATTTACAGAACTGACTCACAGCTAGAGATGTTCTCTTGGCTTGTGAGATCATTCTGAAAACATCCACACATATTTAACAGTAACTAAAAATCCATCTGCTACATTCTTTTTTTTTTTAAGATTTTATTTATTAATTTGAGAGAGAGAGAGAGCACCCGCGTGAGGGGAAGAGCAGAAGGGGAGGGAGAAGGACAAGCAGACTCTGCACCTGAGTATGGAGCCCAACACAGGGCTCCATCCCAGGACCCTGAGATCATGACCTGAGCTGAGATCATGACCTAGGGGAAACCAAGATCAGACACTCAACTGACTGAGCCACCCAGGTGCCCCCATCTGTTATAATCTTATGCTGTATTATCAGAAAGGCTACAGAATTCCAGAAAACTGTACCTGAAACAATTATGTAGCCTAAGTGTAGTGTCTGAAAAGAAGTACAAATGGAAAAGAAGAGCAGTAATCTTTATGAGGTCATTTAAAAGAGGAAACTACCTAGAACGGTATGAAGAAAAAGACTAATAATTTCAAAGACATTCAACTTCACTCATAATTTAAGAAATGTATATTAAAACAACTGAGATATTTTCATATTGGTAAAAATTACTAAGACTGTGAATATCCACATTTGATAAGGGTATGCAGAAACAGGCCTTCTCATCCACTGCTGTGGGGAATATAAACTGGGCAATGTCTAGCAAAACTGAAAATACACATATATTCTATTGCTTAACACTGCCACTGCTAGAAATTTACCTTATGCATATACTAATAAAATACCAAGATACGTGTATACAGGGACATTTATTGAAGACAGGATGGGGAAAAAAACCTAAAAATACTTTTAACTATTAACAGAATCATTAAAGAAATTATGATAGAGTGATGCATTCCATGCATCATTAAAGAGAATGCATAGAGCTGGATATGCCAGTACAGAAAGGGCTCCAAGACACAGAATAAGTTTAAAAAAAAAAAAAAAAGGCAAGGAATACGGTATAATATTATTTGTACAGTATTTCTCAAGTCCAGATATGCTAGTACATATATAACAATTGGGGGAAAGAGACTATTAATAGTGGCTACCTTTGAGAGGACTGGTTTGGAGATGAAAAATAGAATTACTTTTCATCTTATACTTTGTCACAGCCCAAATTTTGTACTATATTAAAAACATTTTTTTTTTAATTGAGAAGGGTTGTGGTATCAACGCTCTCAAGAAGAAAACAATCCAGGAATTGCTTATTTTTTCATAAAATAGATGAAAGCTCCTTTAGGACACTTAATTCCATGGGCTCTGGTTCTATCCTAACACACTTCAAGAATCCCTAAGTCAGTTTTCAGAGCCCTTGATAACCAAATGGTGGGTGTGAAGCCTAGTGAACAGAGCCCTCCGAGGGCTCTTTATAAAGGTCTATTTCTCAGAGTAAATTAACAAATTGGCACCCTAATTTACAACTCAATCTCCTCTGAGTTTATCATGAAATGACCCCCGGGAACCTAATTAAGACTGCATGAACCAGTCACCTTGGGTGTCTAGGGCCCTAGACGAGTCCCTAGATTGTTCTTGATGCTCCCAGCCAAAGGCCCAAACATCCCTGACATTTCAGTGTAGGCCTCTTGTACTACAGATGAGGAAAAAGCAACTCCACAGCTCTGCGCGGCTACATGGGACAGAAGATAGAACAGCTAAGTGAACTGGAGTGCCACTGCTCTGTCTGCCAAGACCTCCTCCCTTAAAAGACAGAGAATGGGTTAATGACAAAGCAGCAAGCCCCACTGCAATCCGTCCTGTCGTCAGCTTCCTTTCATCCACTCCAGCTTTACCGACGACTGTGCTTTGTGCTCCTAATGCTGCAGAGCACAGCACGCCTAACACTGCAAGCTCCACTCAGACTCCACTGGAGAAAATGACAGCCCGTTTTGAGTGAAAGAGGATCTTTCCAAAGAGGAAAGAAAAATATGGTCATTATGCATCAAGCCCCTGGGCTTAGCTGTATTAAATACGCCTATGCCTGTTTATTGGTTTCTACCTATTTTAAGAAAGATTTATTGCACCCAAGAGTTTTATTTACATAAACATTCAAAATAAAATCAGCTCCTATTTCTAAGTAAGCCCTATAAAACACTGAAACCTTGACCCAAAGTCCCAATTAATCCACACGTGGTCAGAATTCCTTCTAGAATTGTGCTGAGTTATGGAGTGACAAGTCTGCTCCTGACTGTGAGGGGTCAGAACAGGTGGCTACTACCACAGCCAACTATGATTAGAATTTCCAGCATTATGGCACCTGAGTGACTCAGGGCCCTGAGATCAAGCCCTGCGTCGGGCTCCGTGTGGAGCCTGCGCAAGATTCTCTCTCCCTCTCCTCCTGCCCCTCCCCACCCCCACGCTTTCATGCTCTCTCTCTAAAAATAAATAAATAAAATAAATTTTAAAAAGAATTTCCAGTGTTAACAATAAAAGAAACTGATTTTCTGTCTTCTGACAGAATGTACTACTGCATCAAGTATGATCTCTGTCCTTTGGTAAGATGATGAAGATTTCAATCTCACACGATACAAAGGTTTAAAATAATGAAGACAGTAAAATATTTACTGTCTCCAACACAGGTAAACAAAAGACCAAAAGCAGTCAAAAAGTTCATATGCAATAAAGCAAATCAATGCAAACCTATACTGATATCATCAAAGTTCATATGACAGATTTTTGAAATAAAATCCTATCTTCCATTCAAATACAACTGATAATTCTGTACACTTACAAATCCTCCTGAGATGCACAGCTACTCTTTTAGCTTCTCAGTTCTAGTTCAACTTCAAATTAACCTGAGCCATTATTAAGAGTAACTGAAAATTTTTAGAATGCCCTCAATTCTTCTCCCCAAAAGAAAAAATACCTGACAAATATATCATTCTTTCTTTTTTTTTTATTTTTAAATATTTTATTTATTTATTTGACAGCGAGAGAGACAGCAGAGAGGGAACGCAAGCAGGGGGGAGTGGGAGAGGGGAGAGGCAGGCCTCCCGCTGAGCAGGGAGCCCGACGTGGGACTCGATCCCAGGACCCCAGGATCATGACCTGAGCCGAAGGCAGACGCTTAACGACTGAGCCACCTAGGTGCCCCATATCATTCTTTCAATACGGAAAACCAATCATATTAAAAACCTAATGCTAAATTAGGTGCCTGTAGACAGTCAATTTTTTATGGATGCTAAACCTGAATTTGGATCTCACTTTCAACTAAAAGCTGCCCTACCAACTTGGATACAGCTTCTCCATAGTTAAAACATGATTCTTTTACCATTTTGACCTTTTAGGTTCCAAAAGATCTCTTTCCCAATGTGGGCCAGGGACCAGCCAGAAATACTAATCCTCCAAAATGATTTATTCTGGCTTAATGGCAACTTAAAATGCCATAAAATGAACCAAAAGTAACCTACAAAGTTGTGATTCTAAATGTCCGAGGTCTATTGCTAAAGATTAAAAAAAAAGAAAAAAAAACCTCTGGCACAAAAAAATTTACATTTAGGAAAGAGTAAAACTGGGAACATCTCAAGCATGTCTGCCAACTCCCCACTTACATACACCACAATTTTTATAATTTTTTTGAACACTCTAAAAATGTTAACAAACTGAGGATGTAACTTACATAAAATGTGAAACAAAATAATGACCAACATCCTTCATTTGATACTTGGGAACAGTAGCATTCCCTCCCTATTAGCAGATGACCAAAAACAGTACTTTCATCAAAGCTCTAATACAGTGAAAAGCAGGTGTACAGAAACCAAGTGTTTCCATCTAAGCCCCGTTTATTTTTAACTCTGTATTTTTTCTTTTTAATTCTTGTTTCCTTGGAATGCTTTTTGAAATGCAGGTAGTGCTGGCCCATTAAGACAACTGTCAGCTCCAAACTGCACCTTGGATCAACACAAACCACAGAAGTAGGAAACCAACTCCAAGCTGTCAGAGACTATATAAATGCAAATTAATCAACATCCTAAAAAAAGAAATTCCTGATAGTAAAATGTGAATACCTGGCTGTGCCCAAGGCTGCTGTGAAAGAGTATACTTGGGTCCTCCCTGACTGGCCATCGTCTTTAATGCTGAAACCTGTTAGACAAGACAAAAAGAAACATGTTTCTTTTCATTTCACTTCTCTCCAAGGACACACACCACCATCTGCACCTATTAAAACATAATGCTAGTCAAATGTGCAATCCTAAAAAAATGCGTCATAACTCATAATCCTTCCAACTAATAACATATTTTAGCACAACTTCTTTTGTGATTTCAAAGCATCTGCTGTCTTGCAAAAAACACCACCAATGTCCTGAGGTATTCTGCCTGAAACGTTTTAGAGAAGACAAAACTGAGGACCTAGGAAAAATACGGAGACAAAACAGGTCCCTTTTTAAGTGGACTGTTATGTCAACATTAAATTATTATTGTATGCAGTTAGAAAAATGTCACCCCAGCAGGACAAATCTCCTTTACATACCTAGAGACTCTTTTTCTTTATATTTCAGGCAGAGAGAATGTTATGAAAACAAGATTTTCAAACAGCATCAAAAGGCACACTTGACCAACCAGTGCTACAGGTAGACTCAGATGCTCACCTTTTATTCATCTCCCTTTCATTCCTCAGCCATCAGTACAGAGAAGCAAACAAAAAGAAGTACATTTGGTTGCTTGGACAAGTCTGTTCTTAAGATGTTCTCAAGATGGCAAATCATGGTGGGGTAGTTGGTAACTAACTAAGGTGTAGCTGGGGAAGGTGAAGGACAGAAACTGCATAAAACATTTTTTAAATGGATTGTTAGGTGCCAAAGGTCCCAACTGTGACCTTGGCCTCACTAGATAGTCTCATTAGAAAAATTTAAGAACCAACACTTTCGATTAAAGAAGGCCATAAAAATATTTAGGCAGAAGACGGGCACAGACAGAATACAATGTTAAGTAAGCTCACATTCCTGGACTACTCTAGGTCTTTGCTCATGCTGCCATGTGTATAAAATCACCCCTTTCCTATTGTCTATCCCTCTTGATAGCTTTACTTTGTATTGTGAGATGCAGCTTTTAAAAACAAATCATGCATATGATTATAGATTAGCCAATGCTAAAAGAAAAACATGTTCATTTAGTATGTATTATCCAAAATCTTTTCCAACATAAATATATAAACATACTAATGTGTCTACATTTACAAAAATAGGAACACAGTGTTCTGACATCTTTCTTCCCCACCTAACTCTAAATTCTGGACATTTTTCTGTGTCCAAGGGGGGTTATGTTTTATTAGTAATGGTTGCCCATTATTCCACTGATTGTTCCAGAATTTAACCAATATCAGAATGATATATATGCTGTACGTTTAGGCTGTATTAATTATTTTTATATTAAGAACAAAGACAAACTTACATATCCATCTCTATTTACTATCTACGTAACATACTTACCTTTAAGTCAAACTGCAAGGAGCATTTTCTTCAAAAGTTTTCCCCAATTAGCCCTATCTTTTTCAAAAACCCTACGAGCTAAAATATGTTATTAGTTCAAAAACACCCCGAGTCTTTAGGCTCAAAAGTACCACTGTCTCATGATGACATTGCTGTACACTTCATAATGTTTACGTATTTTCTATCCTGATTTCCCATTAGATTTAAGTCCTTGAGAACAAAAATTAAATTTATAGGTCAAATTCTCTTACATGCACTACAATCAAGAAAAAATTTAAATTTATAGTGTTGCTGAGGAAATTAACACTTCAGAGGGAATATTAAGAATAAACTTGTAGGGCACCTGGGTGGCTCAGCTGGTTAAGCATCGAACTCTTGATTTTTGGTTCAGGTCATGTCAGGGTTGTGAGACAGAGCCCTGGGCCTGCTTGAGATTCTCTCTCTCCCTTTCCCTCCACTCCTCCCCACCCCCAACCCAAATAAACTCACAATACTTCAGTAAATTGCTTGGGGAAAAAATGAATATTGCTAAATACAAGTCTTGAGTTTTTCAGCATAAACTGGTCCCACCAGGGGAGAACACTTTTAGCTTAGTCATAAACTTGAAATGTACTTCCTTTAAAATGCTTTCATTCAGATTTTTTGTTAAAGCAAAACCTGCACTTCAAATTTGTCGTATTTTCCTATAGCATTTCTGCAGCATTTAAAGTACTATTATGCATGATCTTCTTTTGGGCCTCATAACAACCTTAAGTTGGGAAGAGGGGTACAGTAGCTATCTCTGCTGTAGGGATTAGAAAAGCAAGGCTTGGAGAATCTACCTTGCTACCATTTTACTCAGGAGGTGGCAAAGTGGGGCTAGAGCTCAGCTTTCCTGAGTCAAAATTCTATGCTCTTTCTACCACACCCATGACCAGTCCAACCCCTACTTCAGGGTTTGTTTCAAGCAACGATCAATATAATGAAATTCTAAAACAATAGAAAGTATCAACAGTTTTTCGGGTGCCTGGGTGGCTCAGTCAGCATCTGCCTTTGGCTCAGTTCATGATCCCAGGGTCCTGGGATCAAGTCCCGCATTGGGCTTCCTGCTCGGCAGGGAGTCTACTTCTCCTTCTCCCACTCCCCCTGCTTGTGCTCTCTGTCAAATTAATAAATAAAATCTTTTTTAAAAAAAAAGAAAGTATCAACAGTTTTTGAGTTTAACAGAAGATATTTGATCCAAATTATTTTCGTATGAACTTCTACCCCCAACACTTAGAACAGTATTATACTCCCTAGGGGCAAATACTTAAGAGAAAAGGTTATTTTTCAAGGAGCAGGAAACAGGACAATAGAGCATATATATTCTTCTAGAATTTATTTTATTTTTCTGAAGAAACTTCATTAATTGTACCAAAAAATCAGGGATGATATTTACACTAGTCAGATTAAGTTTGTAGAAATGATTGTCTTGTGTATATTGGGTCACTCTGTGTAACTTTAGTGTCTCCAACTTGAAATGAAGATGTTTTACTTACTCTAGGTGCCAGGGGTATAATGAGAATTAATGAAAACAAGGTATCTCTATAAGGAGAGTCCAGGAAGGAGCTACATAACCAAAAGGCCAATTTACAGCAGGTAAAAAGGGGCTAAAATCACACCCCGAGTCTTTAGGCTCAAAAACAACTCTTCAGACAGCCTAAGAATGTTCTCTACACTCACACAGTTTGTTTTATTATGCAAACCCACATATATTTTAAAAATGAGCCCAAACTGTTCTCAGCTGAGAACATTTGTTGATGAGGCTTATATCCAAATGTTAAAATACTGAGACCTACAAGCATACATCCAAATCGAAGATGAAAAACTGTTCCCTTTCTGCACCTATGGATGCTGCTTCTCTTGCAATCATTTATCAAAGTACAATCACGGGCTGCCTTATTAAGATGCCAACTATAATAAAAGAGGCACAAGATTCTGCACTTGCAGATTTACCTTTAAAGAAAATCATTTTAAAGTTTTAAAATCATTTATTCTGTCTCTGCTCTTCAGAATACTAGTAACATCCACCAGATAAAAAGGGAAAAATGGCTTGGTCCACAAATTCTAACAAGCAATGTCTTAATCACGTTATTTGTGTGAACTCCAGTGCTTACGCCATATGCGCCGTGGATGTGCGTCTTTGTCTCTGACTCATTCTACTCCAACAGGATGGGGGAAGGGACTGAATTTGGAATAAGGAAATGTAAAAGGGATGCTCAGTCATCTAAGCTGCACTATCTACTAAATATTCTGACTGGACTCTGAAGAGCACTTCGGGACCAAGTCTGAAAAAAGAAAACGAGGCAACAGTGAATGATCTGAGCCAAGACAACACAGACTAAGCAGGGGAGACAGGACAGATTTCTCAATGATGTCAAAAGGCAGGGTCTTTCCCTCTCCGATCCCTCAGGGAGGAGTGGTATGAAGAGAGATGCCTGAACAGCTACACAGGAATCCCCGCTGTAGACGTGTAGCATTCCATGGAGAACCATTATATAATTCAGACTTGGAACACATGTTTTGTTTGTGGTTTTTTTTTAAAGATTTTATTTATTTATTTGACAGAGAGGGAGAGAGCACAAGCAGGGGGAACGGCAGGCAGAGGGAGAGGGAGCAGCAGGCTTCCCGCTGAGCAGGGAACCCGATGCGGGGCTCGATCCCAGGACCCTGGAACCATGACCTGAGCCGAAGGCAGATGCCCAACTGACTGAGCCACCCAGGCACCCTGGAATACATGCTTTCTACATATAACTCTAATTTTTAAAAAATGTTCATAGTGTCCAGAGCCTTCCAAAATGCATAATTAGAGTTATAACAGATTTAGCAGACTTACACTACCATCAATCTGGACAGCCACATCAGTGAGCTTTCATTCTCTTGACTTCTTGACTGTGCTTTTCCAGAAAAACCCTTTAATCCTAGATTTCATTATAATCAACTTGCTTATGTCAGATGATTCATTCTGCAGCTCTGCTATTGCAGAATACTCATCTACAATATTTCCCACCAGCACTAATGTGGATGCTCTCCCAAAAATATATACCACAATCTACAGATTTCCTGTAAGGACAATTTCAGTAAAAACTGTAATGGACTTACCTGTAAATTACAAAGTATCGACAACTTGTGCCATTTTTTAAAAATCAAAACCCAGCAGGAAACCTTTCTACCACCACTCCCCCCTTTTAAATTTGTGTGGCAGGGGAAGAAAAACACACACACACTCCTTATACTTGTTTGAATGGACTAAAACCCCATAAACAAGTACTATATGCCAATGATAAACAAAAGGGTAGTTTAACTACTTTAACATTTCTATATTTGCTTTTTTGGTATTTATTACTATTTTTAAAAACAAGTATCCTCTATCTTTTGAACAAATATCATAGGCTTCAGGCATATTAGTGTTGATGGCCCCAGCAAAAAATTACTAACAGACAATTTGCTCAGCTGTCCCCTGGTCATTTCAGGGATATAACCTGTCTCCCCAGTTAGGACTTAGGTAAGTAAAGTTGAGAGAAAAGGCTATCATATTTTTCTCCTTTTTATAATGTACAAGTCCGGACAGGCAGTAGAGGCTTAATAAATGAAAGCTCATCTCAAGACTGTTTTTTAAAATTTCAAGACTTTTTAAACATTTTTATGAAGTAAGGTCCTTAGTAACGGTACTTAAGTATTTAAAAAAAAAAAAAAAATTAGGCTGAAACAGGAAAGTCAAAAAAGCCATGATCTGATTTTTTCATTCCTGGCATTAGCCCAGTTGGATGGATGTTAGTGAGGAGAGAATATTTGCACTTTTTCTCTTAAAAACTGAAAACTGCGCAAGCATATCTAAAAGTCCAAACCAGAAAGCTTCCAAAATAGGAAACACAGTGATTTCCTAGGCGGAATCATTAAGATTTGGGCTTACTATTTACTAGCTCCTGCCAGAGTTTTCACTAGAGGGTAATTCAAAAGGAAATCGAAGGAAGAAATGAAAATTACTTTACCAAATATGCACCAAGGTCTATACCTTTGTCAGGAACTCCTCCAGCTGCTCTACAAACAGCTTGGTCTGCTGCTGAATAAACTGCTCACAGGCCGATTTCAGATGACGGTCTACATCTTTTTTAGAGTCAAGATAATGTTCTCTTATCTCGGGTGTACCCTTAAAAAGAAGATGACAATTTCCTCCTGTTTTTATGTGCCTAGAAATTACCAGATACATAAAGAATGCCGTTTATCTCCCACCACCAATGAAACAGACTCCTTCTCACCTCCAACAAGAACTCTATCAAGGCATTGTTGCTATTCAGCCTAAAAAATCTTGGAACAGTCATAGGGTTCAGGATTTTAAATGCTGCATCTGTGAAACAAAATTACTCATCCAGTGAACAGGTATGGTTTTAAAAGAAAAGACGAGTTACTGTGTCAGTGTGTTAATATACACCAGTTATCTGTTACCACAAAGCAAGAGCGGTTCCATTTCCACCAACTCACCTCCATGAATGGAAGAAGGTGAGATTAGTGCCAACCATGGCTGTAATACCCACACACAGTTATTTTCTAGAAGTCAAACTTGAGAAATGACTATTAATCTCAATTATCTACTTACAGAAAAAAAAAAGATAAATGGTAACTGATACCTTAAAATTTCACTGCTTTACTTTTATGCTGCTAAATAGATTTTTCAGGAAAAAAAAAATCATATACTTACCCAGCTTCATTTTTTAAGATCCTGGCTGGCACAGAAACTTATTCATTTGAAGCAGAACGAATAAACTAATGTGTCAGCCAGAAAGAAAACACCAAAAGGACATATTTATCCCTTAACCTCCAGACTAACTAGAATCCATGCGAAGTACTAACTGAGGTCTCATTGATGTTCAAATGCAATTAAGATATAATGTTAGTCATGAGAGGTTAGAGGTTTAAAAGTAAAGAGAGCAAATACTTTTAAGTGATAGTCAGAAAAGTCCATTTCTTTGCTTTGCCACACTGCAGAAGCAAAGCATGAAATGCTTCCAACCCTGGTTTTTGCAAGTACACACCACAACAGTACTTACTGCCTTGACCCTGATCTTACTGAAAAAGATTTATCAGATTCAGTATTGACAGTAAAGCTTTGTTTCTGCTGTCTTTTCTGTAAGATAACCTAAAAGGCTGTCTGTGACAGAATATAGTAGGATTATATAGGCTTTATAATGTTTTAGAGAAAACAGTATTTGCCAAAATTTTAGGGCATTTCATTTTCTCACACTTCAGTGGATCTATATGAGAACTAAGTAAGCAGCAACAAATTATGAATTAGAAATCAGCCTTACTTTGTCCCATTACTTAAATAAAGTTAAGGACTATCAGCCCCTGGCACTCTTCAAGGTTAGAGCACTACTCCCATACCTCACACTGAGACAGAAGGAACTGGTTGGGGGATGGAAGCCTCTGATGAGATAAGCTCTAAAAAACATTATGCATTCTATAAAGGCAAAAGCCAGGAAATCTGGCTGCTGTTAAAAAAAAAAATCACAGGGGTGCCTGGGTGGCAGAGTCAGTTGAGCATCTGACTCTTGGTTACAGCTCAGGTTGTGAGCTCTGAGTCCTGAGATTAAGACCGAGCCCCTCATTCTCGGGCTCCACACTCAGCAAGGAGTCTGCGTGTCCCTCTCCCTTCCCCTCTGCTCTTCCCCCACCCTCTAAGATAAATAAATAAAATCTTTTAAAAAATAAAAATAAATCACAAAATATATGAGTAACACACAGGGTCACTATTCAAATTCCAACAGAACCAAAAGGTATTCTCTATGGTGGAAAGGAGAGAGCACTAGGAAAAGAACGAGTAAACTGTTCTAATACGACTTATGATGAGACCACTTTGGTTCTCAGGTGAGTTAAGTCAAGCCCACTATTTTATAAGCACAGTCACTAGGGAACTAACAACCGGCTACCCTTGGGAATCCTGTATTTGGAGTTCCTCTGAACCAGAGTACAGGAAATAATTTGAGTGACTATTTTCTCAATTCCCCCAATACTTAAGAGAGAAGTTCCATTTTATAAACAAAGGCAAATGGCATTAGAGCTTAATTCTCTTGGAAATGGTTAAGAAAAGATAAAGTTTAGATAAATTTGTAAGTAAGTAAGGGAAACAAGGGATATTCATAGTATATCCTTAAGTGCTTAAGATCAACATCTTAGAAAATAACTATTTTGATCTTTTAGAAATCATCTCTTATTAATTTAGTCAGAGGCAAATCATTAGGATGGATGAATCATCTTTCTCAAGATGATTCAGTGTCTATTAACAACTCAAAGACCCTATCCACATGATTACTTAACAACCAGCTGATTTAATAATACCAATTAGGCTTATTTAAGCACCTAAAGCTTACGAAGTACTTTAACATACATTTTCATGCTTAATGATCTCAATAACCTGGTGAAGTTATCATGACAAGTTGATTCTGCTCATTTCACGTGGGACAGGAAAGCTAAAACACCCATCCAAGATCACACAAGAGCCAGGAAATGATGGTCCAGGAACAGAACCCAAATCTTTCAATCTTAGATAAATACTCCCATTTTACCCAGCTGGCTTCCTGAATTTTCATGAACCGACAAACTCTACTCAATGTTTAAAATCACCCCAATTGGCTGACACTGTAAGTAGCTGTTACACTGATTTTTCATTTTTTAACTGGTTATGGTAACATGTGGCAGAGTCTAAGAGAAGTAATGCTATATTACAAATTGAAATGCTCAGAAACAGTTCACTTCATAAAGAAAATACAGCAAGTTAGATGTAATTAGGATGTTGACAGCTCAGCTTAGTATGAACAAGTAACATGCTCAGCAAGCACAGCATGCAAAAAAAATTGCAGATGAACATAAAATAAACCTATAACCTTTGCTGACACATTTGGACAGGTCAAACACACCCAAATGTGCCAGCCAGAACAATGAAGTACCTCTAGTTTTCTTGAGGTCCAGGGAAATTTCCTTAATGGTGAATTCAGTATGAAATGGAGCAATTTGTTCACGAAGAATCAAAAGGTGCTTAATTAAGAAAAGTTGTCCATCAATCTGAGTCTAAATTATAAGACAGAAAAATGGGTATTATCACAGATTAAATAAAAACATATAAAACACATGGTGTTATTAATCAACATTAATCTACCTAGGTTTATGGCCCTTAACCTAACCATATGTACCAATACTCCTTTGTGATGCAATGAACCCTCCCCATATTACCCATGTTAGAATTATCTGGAAAAATCTTGCTGCAAACTCTAACATTGTCACCCACTCTACTTCGTCAATCCAAGAAAGTAAATCAGAAAAAAGGCTATAAAGTAACACATTTAGAAAAAGAAATCAAATCTATTTTAACTTGGTTTAGAAACAGAAGAGATAAAGTGACCTAACATCGGCATGGAGCAGGAAATAAAGAAAAAGTCAAAGCATGAGCACAACTCTGACTTCTCGTGGCTTTCCAGTTTCTCTTCAAGTAACATGACTCTGTTTGGCCAAAGTGGTTTCAATAGCCAGAATATCAGAAATATTCATATTTACACAAAAGGAGCTTCCAAATGCAAAAATGATTTGGGGTTACCATTTTGGATTATCCTGCCACCAACAGAGCACTGACTGTCTATACCCTGAGAGTCACTATACTTGCATCTGCCCTGGCAAGACCCATCTAGAAGAGTCTTATGAGTCAAGCTTAGTTTTCAAAGCTCTGTCCCAATCCTAAAACAGTGAATAATCATAACTTTCACTTCCAAAAAAGTCTGTATATTAACAAGAGCAAGGCTGCATCCACTCATTCTTGCTGCTTAATCAAGACAAAATCTTACTTTGAAAATATTTCTTATAACGTTACACTGTATTAGGAAAAGAATAAAATTGTCCTTCAGTAAACAACAACACTTTTAGGGGCACCTGGATGGCTCAGTCGTTAAGCGTCTGCCTTCAGCTCAGGTCATGGTCCCAGGGTCCTGGGATCGAGCCCCCCATCAGGCTCCCTGCTCAGTGGGAAGCCTGCCTCTCCCTCCCCCACTCCCCCTACTTGTGTTCCCTTGCTGTGTCTGTCAAATAAATAAATAAATAAATAAACAATTTTAAAGGGGTTATTAAACAAAGTAACTCCTCTCTGGCGTCTGTCTCTCTCTCTCCTTCCTCCTCCTAAATAAACATATAATCAATATGTAAGTATGATTTATTTGATGGAAACTCACTTTACACTCTGGAACACAGAGCATTAAGTAAGTAGGAAGCGCTATATATTTTGAATACTTGCTCTATTTTTTAAAAAACTAACAACTCCAAGGGGCAAAAATAGTATAATACAGATTTACTTTACTAAAGCTGTTATAATCCAGCAAATGGTTATCATGTTAGTTTACTAATATATTAGGTGTTCACTTAAGTATGGCAATAACCTTTTGCCTTAAGAAGCTAAGACATTAAATGGTCATTTTCATTAATCACTTTTTTCTTGAAAGGCAAAAGTATACAAACTCAACAACAAAAATAAATGAGCTAATGCTTGCAAAATCGAGGGCTTCCTCACACAAACTTAAACCCCTTGTAATATGTAGGAAGCAGAGTTACATAAAATAGGATAGCCTCACAGGGTAAGGACAAAATAATCAAAGAGCCCTTCACCCCTCCCTTTAAAAAAAGGAGGTGGTACAAGAAGACATAAGCATATAATCTTATTTTTAAATTAGATCATTTTTGGGCGCCTGGGTGGCTCAGTTGGTTAAGTGACTGCCTTTGGCTCAGGTCATGATCCTGGAGTCCCAGGATTCAGTCCCACATAGGGCTCCCTGCTCAGCAGGGAGTCTGCTTCTCCCTCTGACCCTATCCCCTCTCATGTGCTCTCTCTCTCTCATTCTCTCTCTCAAATAAATAAAATCTTTAAAAAAAAATTAATAAGTTAGATAATTTTTTTCCTCCTTATCCTCTAAGAAATACAGGCTTACTCTAGAAAATCTGGAAAATAAAGCAGATTGTAGAGAAAAGAAGGGAAAATATTCACCCAAAAACTTTCAATGTTCTTGTTTTATTGTGTGTTTTCATTACATAGTCATAATGTACATCTGGTTTGTATCCTTTTTTTTTTTTGCCTTAAGATATTTAAGTTAAACGTTATTGCTTCATTAAAAAAAAATCAATGCCTGTGTAATAGTCTACTCTATGAGTATGCCACAATTTACTTAACCATTTGCCTAACACTAGACATGCTTCCTGATTTCATGTATTATAAGAAATGTGAAAGCTCAGGCTTAGAAATACTTTTTAAAAATTAAATCTGCCTGTCTACAAATAACTTTCCATCCTCTTTCCAGCATACGAAAATTTCACTGCAACCTTCCATTCCATGACTGGGAGAATGCAGTGGTCACAATCAGAGGTACAGCTTTCCTAGCAACAGAATCCCAAATTCTTTTGCAGGAAGTTTTTTTTGTCATTTGTTTTTTTTGTTTGTTTGTTTGTTTTGTCTTACCCTAATTTATCTAAAGCCTTGAAGTAAGAAATCAAGTTTGTAAATCTGGAAGTCCAGAAAGGTTCACAAGGTTTGAATACTCCAAAGAGCAAAAAAAGTTTCCCTGGAAATAGCCCCACAGCTTCCTCCCTTTAGGCAACAGGTATTTTAATGGACAGTTAAACAAAGCAACACCTTTGACCATGCTATAAAAAATTCTCAGGGGCCCTAAGAGCAGCCTTCAGCCCCAGATCCCTTCTTGATTAAAAACTGTAAGTCACAAAGTCATGGCAACTACTTCTAGCCACGCAACCCATGGGCCACAATTGTCTGTCTTCCAAACTGACTTGGCTGATTTCCTCCAAGTGAGGCCATTCAACTATTTAAAACCATCACTGAACGGATGACTATAAATTGCTATGTTCCCTTATAAACACTGCTTTGGTCTTTCAGCGAAACAGGAGTCTACTACCTTCCCAGTTGCTAAGGCTATAATAAGAAACCTTTACCCTATAGACTTTATAGCCAAAGTACCACTTTCAGCACTTTTTAGCAAAGCTGGCCCTCCTTTATACAGTGTAGTCTTTATTTAGCACTATAATAAAATACAACTGAGCCTTGAACAACATGGTTTGAACTGCACTGGTCCACTTATATGTTAATTTTTTACAGTACAGTACTATAAATGTATTTTCTCTTCCCTATGATTTTCTTAATAACATTTTTTCTCTAGCTTACTTTATTGTAAGTACATAATACATATAACAGACAATATAGGTGTTAATTGACTGTTTATGTTATCGGTAAAGCTTCCAGTCAACAGCAGGCTATTAGTAAAGTGTTCGAGGAATCAAAAGTTCTATAAGGATTTTCAACTTTTAGGTGGGGAGGAACTGCGCCCCCTAATTCCTGTGTTGTTCAAGGGTCAACTGTTCTAGCTTCTCTTAAAAGGCCTCAATTAAATCATATTAAACAAATCCTACTGCCAAAATGGCTTTAAATTTCTGTGCCTATAAATAAATGCTATATTCCACAATATTATTCACCTAACACTTCATCAAACCTTGTTTTTGCTGATAGACTCTGATGCTCCAAGTAACGACTGAATGCAGGCAGACAAGGCTTCCTGTGATAATCCTTGGAACACTGCCCTCTGGTGAAATAAAAGAAAAACATTACCCTGAAGTGCTTCACAACACAGGAAAAAGAAATTGTAAACGGGGTACAAGGAACAATGAATGTTTGCTTGCCCTCATCCACTGGATGAACTTATATTACTGGCAATATTTCTCCTGGAGTTTCCTATTCCCGTGCAACCTGTCTAGACCAACACACAGTTTTGTAATTTGCATCTCTCAAATGCTGGATGCACAGGGGTGGGTGGACAAGGCAGATGTGGTTCTGACCCCATGGAGCCCTGACTCCAATATGGCCTCATTTTGTAGGCTGTTTTTTAAATCAATAAAAGCAACTTTAAGACAAAGCCTCAGTAAACCCACTTCTTTTGTGTTTTTTTAAGATTTTATTTGTTTATTTGACACACAGAAAGAGAGAGAGCCAGAGCAACAGCAGAGGAAGAGGGAGAAGCAGGCTCCCCACTGAGCAGAGAGCCCGATGCGGGACTCGATCCTAGGACCCTGGGATCATGACCTGAGCCGAAGGCAGACACTTAACCAACTGAGCTACCCAGGCGCCCCAGTAAACTCACTTCTAAAAATGTATCCCAAACAATTAATCAGTATTGTATTATAAAATTCATGCACATGGCTCTTACTACATTATTTAAAACAGCAAAAAAAAAAATGCTCAATGATGGGGGAGTCAACAAATAAAATACTTACTGTGCATGAAATACAGAAAGGCTGAAGGACGTGGTAAAATTTTTATAAAATGTAATTAGGTAAAAACAAAATAATTGGGTTACAAATAGCATGTGAAGTATGATTCTTAATTTAATTCTGCCATTTCTATATCTTGCCAGAGGTGCAGCATGTTGGTCTGGGCAGCGTCGCCTGCCAGTCCCTTGCTTCCTCTCCCTGCCTCCATTCCACCTGAGATGGAATTGATATGGAGGAATATGAGCAAAATATTTATTATGAGGCCACAGTCCTGGGTCCTAATCTCTACTTGATGTTACTCTCTTTTTGTACTGCTTCCCTCTCATTTGTCTCCCATGAGGCTTCTGTAGTAAGAAAAGATTAGGGATGCCTCTTGCTAGGTCACTGCCCCTGCCTGAAGAAGACTGAAGATGGGCAGCTTAGACTAAGACCCTCTCTTACCCTGCTCAGTCTTAATGCATTTTTCACTAGACTTGGCTTTCCTCGCCTTAGCTGGTTAAAATAGAGAGGGAAAGGATTCAGACATAAGCTAGGTTAATTAAAAAAAAAAAAAAAAAGGAACAAGCAGTCCCAGAACATAAAAAAAAAATAGGCAGAGTTGCGTCCTCAGGTCTACCCTACTATTTGGCTCAAATCCCTGTTAAGCACCTAAAAGGCCTCACTAGGGTCTGTGATGATAACGGGTTCTATGTGGAATATGCCCCCATGTGTCCCCTCAGGATCCTGGCTCTATTCTAGGGAGTTTCTTTTCTTTTTTTTTTTATTTTTTTATTTTTTTTAAAGATTTTATTTATTTATTTGAGACACAAAGAGAGAGCACAAGCAGGGAGAAAGATCAGAGGGAGAGGGAGAAGCAGGCTCCCCACTGAGCAGGGGGTCCGATACGGGGCTCGATCCAAGGACCCTGGAATCATGACCCGAGCCGAAGGCAGACGCTTAACCGACTGAGCCACCCAGGTGCCCCCTCTAGGGAGTTTCTGAATCCCAGCCTCATACCATCATTCAGTACACCTACTAGGGAACCTAGGGAAGAGGAGATGCCAATGTCCAAACCTCCCTCTGGAAGACAGCTCATTAGCTGGGCAAAAGGGCTAAGACATCTAACTGTAGAGGTGATGTGGCCTCATCCTAAAAGTCCCAGAACAGGCCAAAAGGTATTTTCTGGTTGAATTTCAAAATCTCTCTAAGCACAAACTCCAATAACTATGTAGCTTAAAATAGAGACTAAGTACTGTGCACTCTACTGGACCAATCACACAACTGTGCAACCTTGTTCAGCCCCTAGGCCTCTGAGATATGGAACCATCTCTATGGGGAAGGGGGTACACACCCCCTTTGAACTCTATTCTTAAGAAACAGTAGCATCTGGACAATTAATTACACTGCTGTTGTATTTAGTCACTTTTTATATGCTATTTGAGTTGTAACAATCAAATTTTAAATTAAAACCACGGAGTTTTAGGGGTGCCTGGCTGGTTCAGTTGGAGGAGAATATAACTCTTGATCTTGGGGTTGTAAGTTCAAGCCCCATACTTAAATAAAACTTAAAAAAATTGAACCTTACTATTTCAGCAGCAAACTCCTAAGAGTAAGTAAGTATAGACAACTCTAATCTTTCAAGATTGATAATCATATCATTAAACATTCTGGAATGCTTACAATAACTCTGACCTAAAATCAATGCATAATGTTTAAGGTAGTGCTTCAAAAAAAAAAAAAAAAGGTAATTTCAGCAAATAAATAAAATTAGTCCATGATTTCTTAGTCTAAGAAACACATGTAATCTTAATACTACTTATTAAGAATGTTGACTTAGGGGTACCTGGGTGGTTCAGTCACTTAAGCATCCAACTCTTGATTTCAGCTCAGGTCATGATTTCAGAGTCATGAAATGGAGCCCCATGCTGGGCTCTGAGCTCAGCAGGGAGTCTTGCTTTAAATTCTCTCTCTCCCTCTGCCCCTCTCCCTGCCTCCCTGCCCCACACTTTCCCTCTCAAATAAATCCTTAAAAAAAAAAAAAAAGAATGTTGATTTAAATGGAGTACAAAACTAAATTAATGGGATGCCCAGGTGGCTCAGCCAGTTAAGCATCTGACTCTTGGTTTCACCTTAGGTCATGATCTCAGGGTCGTGAGATCAAGCCCCATGTCAGGCTCAGCAGGGAGTCAGCTTGAGATTCTCTTCCTCTCCTTCTTCCTCTCCCTCTGCCCCTCCCATCACTCGCACAAATGCACCCTTTCTCTAAAAAAAAAAAAAAACTGAAGTACATGCATTTAATAAATTTAATACTAAATGTGTATTATAGCCATGTGACACTGGACATTATCACTTAACCTTTCTGCATGTCTTTTTCCTTACCTATAAACTAAAACAGATGAATTAACCAGCAGTTTTAAACTTTTATGTGGTCATAGATCCCTATGAGAAGCAATAAAAGCTATAATCCTTCCCTTCAGAAAGACACAAATATAAACATACAAACACAATTTTACTCACAATTTCAAGGTGTTCATAGACTCCCCAAAGGCCGCTAGTGAATTCTAAGGTTCTACAGAATGCCCAGGTTAAGAATCCCTACATTAGGGGCACCTGGGTGGCTCAGTGGGTTAAGCGTCTGCCTTCGGCTTGGGTCATAATCCCAGGGTCCTGGGATAGAGCCCCTCATGGGGCTCCCTGCTCAGCGGAGAATCTGCTTCTCCCTCTCCCTCTGCCCCTCCCCCTGGCTCATGCTTTCTCTCTCTCTTGCTCTCTCTAATAAATAAATAAAATCTTAAAAAAAAAAAAGAATCCCTAAATTAGATTGATCTTAAACTTACCTCTGTATCTAAAAACCATATGATTCTAATTTAATACCAAACCAAATACTACATCAAGATCTTAAAATAAACTTAAAATTAAAAAATTTCACATGAGAGGCGCCTGGTGCCTCAGTCGTTAAGCATCTGCCTTCGGCTCAGGTCATGATCCCAGGGTCCTGGTATTGAGCCCCACATCGGGCTCCCTGCTCAGTGGGAAGACTGCTTCTCCCTCTCCCACTCCCCCTGCTTGTGTTCCCTCTCTCGCTGTGTCTCTGTCAAATAAATAAAATCTTTAAAAAAAATAAAATTTCCCATGAAAGAGCAAGCAATTTACAGTAAAGATATAACAAATGATACACGTACATCTATACATCTGTACAATTTGGAAAGACACACAAGGGTTCTTCGAACTGTAGGATACCACATTCCATGAAGATCTGCTGGAGAAATTGTGGTCTGCGGTCTAGGATTGAGGGATTCTGTTGAACCTAAAAACCCAAATGGAAAAAAAGACACATTTCACACACATGGAGGTTTGTCTTATTTGCATGGTAAACATAAACTGTTTGTTCTTGTTATCACTAGCTGGAGGCATCCATTTTTTCCAGGTTTTTTCCCCTTTAATCAATAGTGCCACAGGAACCCATAGGAATCCTGACAGCTGATATTTAACACAATAAGTGAGACTACACATAAATACACATATACATTCCAGCCTCATATATATATGCTTAACTCAAATAGCTACTCCAAAATTGTGATCAATAATCTTTATGGAATGGGGGCGCCTGGGTGGCTCAGTAGGTTAAATGTCTGCCATCAGCTCTGGTCATGGTCCCAGGGTCCTGGGATTGAACCCTGCATTGGGCTCCCTGCTCAGCAGGAGTCTGCTCCTGCCTCTCCCTCTGCCTCCCCGCTCATGCTCACTCTCTCTCTCTCTCTAATAAATAAATAAAATCTGGGGTGCCTGGGTGGCTCAGTCAGTTAAGCATCTGCCTTCAGCTCAGGTCATGATCTCCCGGTCCTGGGATGGAGCCCCACACTGGGCTTCCTACTAAGAGGGGAGTCTACTTCTCCTGCTCTCTCCTTCTGCCCCTCCCCATTGCCCGTTTTTTCCCTCTCTCTCAAATAAATAAAATCATAAATAAATAAAAATCTTTAAAACAAAATAATCTTTATGGAGTGAATGAAGAGTATACACAAAAAGGAGGTAGATCTGTATGTAGTCAAGTGGAAACAAGTGGGAGCCAACGGAAGTGAGGAAGTGACAAGAAAATAAAGCAATGTTAAACAGGAAAATTAATCAAAGCTGGTTTGCTTGAAAGCCTTCCTTCCATGCTCTTAGCTGTATTACTTGTAGGTCTACTTAGTCTATCCAGTTCCCAAGTGGGTAGAATTGTCCCCCCTCTCTCCGAGACAGAGCACTCTGGTGAGGGTGAGGAGGAACAGGTGGGGAGCTCGGCTGAACAGAGACATCTTTGTAAGGGAAGCACAATCACTTCAGCTCAACAGACCAGAGTTCAAATGAGCCACAATAGCAGAGCTAAAATAATACTTTAGAACAAAAGGGGATAATGAAATATGGATTGGGTATTAGAGGACATTAGGAAACTATTAAATGTTTTAGTGCAATAAAGTTTTAGGGTTACATGAAATGTCCTTATTTTTTGGAGAGATGATTAAATACTGAAGAGTAAACTGGCAATGATGTCAATAATTTACTTTACAATGATTAGCAAAGACTGGGGCGCCTGGCTGGCTCTTGATCTTGGGGTCGTGAGTTCGAGCTCCGTACTGGGTATAAAGATTACTTAAATAAACTTTAAAAAAAAAAAATTATTAGCAAAAGAATATACATATATATAATGTGTGTGTGTGTGTGTGTGTGTGTGTATATATATATATATATATAATGTGATAAAATGTTAAGTCTTGAATCCAGATGGTGCGTACTGGTGTTCACTGTTCATTGCATCGTTCTTTCTACCTTTCCGTATATTTGAAATCTTTTCAATAATAAAAAAACAAAAGTATAGCCAAGCAAAGCATAATTCTTAAAAAAAAAAAGAGAATGGCCTCTGCTTAGAAGGAGGTCTGGAGGTTGTGGTATAGATTTATGGGGAAAAAGAGAGAGGAGAATGTTGTGGGTTAGTGCTTTTAATTTATAATTCTGTAAGCTTAATTTTTTGCTTTTCAAAAGCATGTAATATTTGTGTAATTTTAAAAGCTCTTCTATAAAGCCTTACTTTAAACCAAAATACCTACTTTATATGAAGTTCCTTAGAAAGAATAAACTAGACAAATTATATCAAAGAATATTTAGGAGATGAAGTACCTATGGTTGCGCTAAGATTATGATATCCACAGGATCAATATAAGGAGCCAAAAAAGTGCCCCCAAATAAAAGTTCAGTGAAACAAATCTATTTAAGTAAACCAGAAGTTGGCTTATTTTTTTTTTCACTTTCCTGTTAAAAATAGTTAACAGTTAAAACAACTGACAGAGGGAAAGTTTACTTACGTGACAATCCATCAAGAGGCGAGTGCCCACTGGCTGCCTCTCCTCAAGAGCAGGGCTCCTCCCTCCCCCAGTCTTCCTCCAGCATCCTCCGTGAGCCCCGCCCTCCCCTTACCTGCTCTATGTATGGAACAGGGCCTCTGCTTTTGAAGATACTGATAACCACCAGCCTCTTCACACGATGCTCCCTCCACTAATTTGCCCTGGCACCAAGTTCTACTACATGAACACCATGTTGTTTAAAGTCCTCACTTTGGAGGCTCCTATTTTCACTTCCAACATATCAAGAAACCAAGAATCAAGAAAAGTGATTACACTCTTTTTTTGCTCCCCTTGCCACTTGCCTCAGTCTTGTTTTCCATCCCAAATTCTATCACCACTATAAGTAGCATCAATAACCGTATGGACAACGACATGGTTGTCAATTCCAAAGACCTTCACTCCCTACCACACAGATTTTCTCATGACCTTCTTTCAGAACTACTTTATTACTTTCTACAGACTTTCTTATTACTCCAAACTATTTCACCTCTTAATTATTAGATCTTAGCATCCCACTCTCTGACCACAATAGCTTTGTGATTTCCTATTTCTCAACTTTTACCCAAAACTACACTGTCAACCCCTCCACCTCTGGCTTTAATCACACCCTATCCCCTTGCTTGCTTCTGACCTCTCTTGTTGTTGGCCCAGGACACTCCTCTACCTCCATTTGCTCTTTAATGTCAGCATCTGCTGAGGTTCTCTCCCCAGATTTCTGCTATTGTCCCTCTACTCTCTGTCCTGGGGTGACCCTACACAAGCCCGAAGCATCAAGTACTCTACGATCTTTCTCTCTAACTCGGTCCTCTCAATAGCTCTAGAGCGGTACTGTCCAATGGAGATACAGCATGAGCCATAAATGTAACACATTATAATGCCACATTAGAAAAAATAAGAAGAAACAAATGGAATGAGCTGTAATGTATTTAACCCAATATATCTAAAATATCACCATTTTAACATGTAATCAAGACAGAAATTACTAATAAGGTTTTTTTCATTCATATTAAGTCTTTGAAATTTGGTGTGCACTTTATATGCTAAAGCATATGCAGATGAGCCACATTTCACATGTTCAATGGCAGGCGGCTACCATGTTGAACAGCATAGCTCTAGATGGATACACACAGATCCTCTCAGTTGTTCCACACGGACCCTGCTAAGTCTTTCTTAGCCCCCACATCTAATGTGTCATCAAATTCTACTGATTCAAGCTTTTAACCAGATGTCTCATCTATTCACTTCTCTACATCCCCATCAGGGCCCTGGCTCAAACCTTTATCTTTCAAATGGAAAACAATCTCCTAACTAGTCTCTACAGTTCTGCCAACAATACCTTATTTATATTAAGGCCAAACATGGGTGAAAGAATAGACTTTACTGGGGAAAGGGAAAATATATAAGACCAGGGTCAATAAGACAGAAATGTACTCTAGTCTCTCCAATAACTCTTGAAGAGGTTTATTAGGACCAAGGTGTATACTAGAAACAAAAGGTATACGAAGACATGGCACAGGTTCTATTTCAAAGGAGAACATTTTAACCCCCTATGGGGCAAGTGTGATAAAATGGCTTTGCCAGACAGGGAATACTCAGGTTGCCTGGCAGTCTGGCTTTGAGGTATCAATTGTTCATAGAATAACACACAATACCTGATGATGCCCTAAACCTGGGGATTTAGGGACAACTGGGGCTCTTTAAAGCCTCCCATTCTCACTACCCCAACTCCCAGTCAGTCCCAGCTCCATGAGGAGCTGAGCTTCAGTGTCTCCCTTACAGCTAGGAGGAGAGGGGAAGGGAGATCCTGCTTCCCATCTAGCTTGTTGTCTACATAACACATAAATATCCAGGATTCTTTTGGAAAATTTTGCTCCTTGCATAACGTGCACCCTAGCCCAAGCTATCCCAAACATTTTTATCAGTATCCTACCCCAGTCTCAGGCACTCCATATATTTACAAAATGCAAGTCTGGTGGTACAATTATGCCAATACACTGTATTAGCAAGAAGTTCAAAGTTCATGAGACTATCACTGACACCTATCTGGCCTGTTTTATCTGCTCTTCCCTCCAAATAACCTATGCCCAAACATACCAAACCACTTGATTTCCCCAAAGCAACCATGGTCTTCCATTCCTGCCTGCCCTCCTCCATGCTCTTCTATCTTAAACAACCTTACTTCATCTGGCTCTCTCATTTTTGCTTTTATAAACCATATAGCTTTCAGACCCCCCAACTCTCACTGAACCCACCTTCCTGCACTCAAAGCTCATCTCCCTTCATAACTCTGATGCCCTTCTACCAAGGCCCAAGAGTGCACTGCCCATACCTTTAGCATGTCACCACTCAATTATATCTGTGGCTTATCAATCTCCCCCCACCCAAGTGTGGGCTCCTCAAAGGCACAAGGTGTTTCTCATGCCCAGAACATGACGAGTCCTCAATAAAAGCTTAAACGAATGAATAAAAGCTGGAGTTAAACATCATAACATACCGGATTTTCTTAGATTATTAGACTCTGTTTCCTCTAACCGAACATCTGAAAACGAAGCTTCTGAAGGTACCTTCTTCTGTTCATCTTTTAAACTCTGTGCAATTTGCTATATAAAGAAATCAGAAGATGAAAGTGTAGTTTTCAGCCGTGTTTGCAATATGAACATATTCCTTCCATAAAGTTTAAAAAAAACTAGTTAATAAATGGACCAATTAAGAGAACCACAGCCAAACAACCCATGGAAATGAAAAAGTTAAATTAGTATAGAGTGTCCCTACTCCTGGGCACCTGGGTGGCTCAGTCGTTAGGCGTCTGCCTTTGGATAGGTCATGATCCCGGGGTCCTGGGATCGAGTCCCACATCGGGCTCTCTCCTCGGGGGGAAGCCTGCTTCTCCCTCTCCCACTCCCACTACCCCCTGCTTGTGTTCCTGCTCTCGCTATCTATCAAAATAAATAAATAAAATATTAAAAAAAAAAAAAAGACTGCAAAAAAGAAGAGTGTCCCTACTCCCATAAATACATACATAGCCTTTTGTGAACCATTAATTTCAGAACTATTACAGGTATCTGCTGCAGGGTCATATAATACACAAGGCTCCTACAGGAAGCTAATTTTCAACTTTACGTTTAGAAACAAAATTTAAGACTGAATAGGATACATTCTGAATGTCAGAAAGGCTTTTTTCAAGTAACCGGCCAATATAAACAACTGGTTTTCTCTTTAGGTGAGAATAGCTACAGTAAGCTATTTTTGAAACCCTTCTTCACTGCCTAAAGAATAACATCAAATACACACAGGTCACTAATTACTAAGTTAGTAATGAAAATCTCACTAATTTACATTTATAGTTTTATAAAGGTGGAAATACACAAAAATGAAGGACTAACACACACATAACTACTGCCAAAAGGAATGGCCAGAGAACTGTTTCGGAGACAGACTCCATTATCACTCAGGCCAGTCCTCTCACTCTGTATGCAGAAACCAGAAACTATAGCCAACCCCTAAATAGCACACAAATGTCATAGCAGGATCACCTGATGCCTCTACCCCTCACCAAAAGAAAAACAAAGCAAGCATATTTACTGAAAGTGGTATCCTTAAACCAAAAGGTCCATACAAGAAAGTATCAGGATACTGGTCATGTGATGACTAAATAAACATACTAAATATATCACTAAATTACACTGGGAGAGCGACTTCTAGTAAACTTCGTCAACTAACATCCTATCAGAACTATTAAAACAGGTATTCTGTCTATCATATAAAACTAATATTCATAAGACAAAGAAAGAAAGGGAAGAAGAAAGGAGAACACAATTCCCCAGACTGGACGGAGAAATAAATCTAGTCTTCATCATATCCACTTTTAAAGCCAAGGTAACTCCTACAAATGGATTTGTGGCCTTAAAGCCAAGGTAACTCCTGCAAATGGATTATCTATCTGTTCCCTGGAATTATCAGCAATATTCCTACTGTAAGCCTGCAGAAAAATGAAAGCTGGGCAATAAACAAACAGCCCCAAAACTATATGCCCTACATACCATGTATCTGATTCCTACAAGGTTGATTTTATGTATTACTCAAAGAAAAAGTACTATACAAATAATTAATATAACTACCCAAAATATAAATTTAAATAGAAGTCAGGAGAAGGGATGAAAGTTGAGGAGAACATTCTTACAATAGGTAAGGGCAGTAAACTAAATAGCCTGGTATATTTCAAGCCTGTTAGCTTTAAAACAAGCACACTTATTACAACACATTTATCAGTTCAGGCATTAAAATAAGTTAGGTTAAGTTAAAATGCTGGTGAGGATGTGTAGCAACAGGAATAGGTTATACATACATATATTTATTTGCTCTGTCAGCTGAGAGGACCCAAAAGCAAGAACACTCTATAGCTATGAGCACACTTAAGCACCTAGACCTTATTTTCTAATACCATTCTCCAATAAAAGAAGCCAGGACTCCTTGGAGAAATGGCTGATTCTAGGACTAAGACTGGAAATAGACAAAATGAGCCTAAAGCATCTTATAGAGCCAAGAGATAAGGAAGTGCTCATAAAACATAAACACACCTACAAGCGAGGGATATGTTCAAAGGGACCCAGGAACCAACTGAAAGAGCTCCCAATGGTCAAAGCTGGAACTATCTGAACAACAAATAAATAGCAGTGGACAATAACCCAAAGTATGAAATAAATATCCATGAGTTCATACTGATATCAGTAAGTGAATAAATACATACATACATACATATATTTATAAAAGGAAAAAGATCCCCTCGCAGAAAAATTCCAAATAATGTATGAAAATACTTTGTCTCAAGGAAGCAGCACAGCTTGGGGAAAAGAGCAACTTTCCAGTGAAGAAACCTGACAATGCTACCTCTGCTAGGTGATCAAGGTCAGTATCAACAGTGGAAAGTCATATTGATAGTATCTACCCTAGATATGATGTGATAAAAATGGCACTTTGGGTTTTCCTCCAAAAATACATAACACCAGTCTAATCTAGAGAAAAACATCAGACAAATTCCTATTGGGAGGCACCCTATAAAACTCTTAACCAATTCTCCTCAAATATGTTAAATTAAAATCAGCAAAAACAAGGAAAGTCTGAGAAACTGTCAGAGCCAAGAAGAGCCTAAGAAGATATGAAAAACAAATGCAGTGTAGTAACTATAAATGGATAATGGGATCCTGGAATAGAAAAAGACATTTTATAAAAACTAAGGAAATGTGAATAAACTATGGCCTTTAGTTAATACCAATGTATCATTACTGGCTCATTAACCACAACAAGTGTACCACACTAATATAAGATGTTAAATAACAGAGAAAACTGGATGTGGGCTACATGGGAACTCTGTAAGACCTTCTCAATTTTTCTATAAATCTAAAACTGTTCTAAAAAATAAAATCTATTTAAAAAAAAAAATCAGGATGTGTGACATCCAGGAGAAGCAGTCTAAACAGAAACAGGATACTATCTGAGCCATATTTATAACTTAACAAAAAAGATTCCCACTTAATATCAAAAGGTATGTTGATGAATATAAAATACACTTATGAAGAAATGGACTTTAAACCTATTTTTCATAGACAAATTTAAGTCAGCACTCCTGCTGGAAGCCAATGATAATTAAGCAAGGATAGTCTGCAAACCTTGCAAAAATTAGACCACATTTTTGAAAATACATTAGAAACGTGTAATGTCTTAGCAATATTATTTCAGGGGATATTTTCAAATTCACTAGTATCAAAATTTCCTTTGGAACTTTTCAAATAAAATAATCAGGCTACTGATAACTGCTCTTAAAATGTACTTTTATTTTAAATACTTTAGATATTTTCCAAACAAACTAGATCAAGTAATTTGTTTAATAAGTTAAAAATAGTCACATTCTTATAGGTAAGAGAAAGTAAAAGGACAACACCCTTCATATTAAAATTTAAATTTAAAAAAAAAAAGCAGACAGACACATCAAACCTCACCTTTACTAACAAGCCAAATGTCTTGTTTTTTAAAAAAAATATTAAATAGAAACTGAGAACAGATTGGTGGTTGTGGGAAAAGGAAGGAAGGTGGTCAAAGAGTACAAACTTCCAGTAGGAGATAAGTAAGTCCTGGGGATCTAATACACAGGAATGGTAATGATAGTTAATAATACTGTACTGTATGGGGCACCTGGGTGACTCAGTCAGTTAGGCATCCCACTCTTGATTTGGACTCAGGTCACGATCTCAGGGTCAGGGGATCGAGCCTGGTGTCGAGCTCCACACTCAGCAGGGAGTCTGCTTGAGGATTCTCTCTCTCCCTCTTCCTCTGCCCCTTTCCTTGCTCGCACACACTCTCAAAATAAATAAATAAAGTCTAAAAAATAAAATTAAAAAAAATTTAAAAACCCACAATACTGTTTGTATATTTGAAAGTTGCTAAGAGAGTAGATTTTTTTTAAGGTCTTACCATAACACACACACACAAAAAATGCAACCATGTGAAATAATGGATGTTAATGAATATATTGTGATAAACATTTCACAACATATATGTACATCGAATCACTATAATGTATATCTTAAACTTATACAATGTTATATGTCAATTATATCTCAATAAAGGTGGTAAAAAATTAAAATTAAAAAAACAATTTTTAACTGGTAATATATTTCACTCATTACTTTAATTAAAGACAGTTTAAAAAAGTCAAATATTGTTTTTAAATATTGCAGGGGCTAAACAATAACAGCCACTGTCTACTATATGACTAGAAAGTCAAGTGCTTTCTAGCCATTATCTGTACTCTCACAGCAATCCCCAATGGTCAGTACTGTTACACCTACTTTACAAATAATGACACATATTCATAGAAACTAGGTAACAGCTACTGACTGACAGAGTCAGGACTTGAACCTAGGTCTGACTCTACACTTTCCCCATGCAACCTTACAGGGGAAAAATCCCCAGTCTAAAGGGATTAGCTCTTAGTTTAAAATCTTCAGATCTGTAGTTAGAATCAAAGGTCTAAGTTTGACAGTAATCTGTATATCTTAGTAGGATATGATCCAAGGACAAAAAGAAGTACAAAAGATCTTGAATTTAGTAAGTTTGCTGTTAGTTATGGTGTTAATTTTGAAACTATTTTCAAGTATGTTGTAACTTGGAGCAAATGAATAAATAAACAGAAGGTACTGGAAGCCAGGGTTTCTTTTGTGAGAGAAGAGACATACAAATATGGAATGGGGAAAATAAGGAAGAACCCTATAGAAATGGATTTGAATTAGAGGTTTCAGTATAAATTCATGATATTTAAAATTATATTTTTTCTACCTCCACCCTTTAGGGGTTAGAAGTAACGACATCCAGGGCTAGCAATGAAAACACCTAACACTCAGATGTTGGTTTCTAAATACCACTCTCCTCCCTGTTAAGGGAATCAAAACTTCTTGGAGAAACAGGTGACTCCAGATCTAGGGCAAAGAATGTAAAGGGTAAGTACGTGGATCATCTTGTGCAGGAAAGCAAAGAAATCTAGTTTGACCAAGATAAAAAAAGAAAAAGACTCGAATTACTAGAATCACACATAAAGAGGGAACAG